TTGATTTTTTAATAATTTGCGGACATTAAATCGTCGGACACTTATATCACTATTTTGTACAGTAAATTTAAAAGTGGAAAAAATGAAAATTAGATATGTGGTAATCGATTTTTCATACCCCGTGAAAATTCCGATTTCCAGCTGTCGGACTGAAAAAACGCGGCTTGAAATTTGTCGGACAACAATACTTTTTGACTGAATTAATTATTTACAATTAATTTTACTAAAAATTACCTATGTGGTAATTAATTTTCAATACCCTGTTATTTTGGCATGTTTCGATCGGTAGACACGTCAATGTCGGAAGAATTTCGGTCGGACAAATTTAAATCGGCATTTGCAACAAAATTTCCAGTAACTTAAGCTAAAAAAAAGAGGTGGTCTTAACTTTTCAAGACCCCGGGAAATTGCCATGTTTTTGGACTTTTCCGAGTGGAAAAGCGGAGGAATCGAGAAAAGTCGCAGAGGAAAAGTGTGGTAGACTCGTAAAAACGGAGTTCCTCACGAGTTATAAGGTATGTGGTAATCAACTTTCCAGGGGGGGAGGGGGGTGGCTGTACTGTGGACTATTATTTCTATTCCTTGACCTATTAGTTTTAATATAACTTCAAATCGAAAGCATCAAGTATTTCTAATAATATGTAAATACAAGAGTCATTTACCTTAGTAGTACATATAGTCTTTCCGATGTCAATTGAAGAACCAGGAGGTTGACAGTATGTACCAGGTTCGGTCGTTGACGAAGCAACTCGGCATTGAAATATTTCAAAAACTTGTTCCAATATTTATTTAGCCATACCCATGTACAGGTCCGGTCAAACTAAACGTGGATGTGGTAGAAATGTATATTGTATACGCCCAGTTGAAAAATGCGAACGCGGGCAAACGAAATACAAACACAGCTGCATTGGGCCACTGGGCGATAAATCTCAGCTGTTGACAAGTGGTTGACAAATTGCCCAGCAGTGCAGTGCAGCAATGCGGAATTTGGTGTGATTCAGGTGATTTTAATTTATTATAATCACCTTCTATTAATCATTGATATTACAATTGCGAAAGGGAGAAATAATATTATTACAACATGGCATTTTGGAGACCTTTTTACCTTTAGCAGAAAACTTATTTAGGGACGCTTATGAAAATCATTAAATTTTATTACCAGGCGATTTTTTACGTGTTCAACTGACTTCGGAAAGACTAATTGATGGTAATATTTAGTATGTTTATGCTGATGTAATCTCTAGGATAATTAATTATTTAATTAATTCTTTAAATCATCCACCCTGTATCCAGTTGCTTGGTACTTCACGAACTCGCCAACCACAGCTATCTAGCATAATTCAATATAAATTCAAGCCAGACTTTAATCCGCCAGAGTAAATATTAATTTCTCGTTGCAGCGTCCCTCAAGGGCTGGAGGACGTCTCCTCCTACCCGGCTCTGTTTGCCGAATTAATTGGCACGGGCAAGTGGAGCGTAGACGACCTGAAAAAATTGGCCGGCCTGAATTTCCTCAGGGTGTTCCAGGAGGCCGAGCGGATCCGGGACGAGTTCAAGAAGGCCAACGTGCCGCCCTACGAGGACGTCATGACGCCGAGGATGCAGAGCAACTGCACCTCCACCAAGCAGGGCAACTTCTGATCTGGACACGAGGTGGTTGCGCCGAGTGAATTTAAAACGACGGTACGTGCTTCGGGAACTATGGTTTAGTTCTTGAACTTCTGGTGTTATTTTCCGATCTACAGTCTATAGTGGCGCAAATACACGATTTTTTTATTTCTCTCACTGTAACGTGTGGTTCTAAAACGTTATTTAAGGAGAAATGTAAAAAAGATTGTCCTTTTTTTAATAACAAGAGCCTATTTTTTTTAATAGTCCGAAATCAGCAGGAAGTGATAACCCCACATTGTACTATTATACAAAGTAGATTTAATAACTTTTAATTTGTTGTACACCTTTCAGTATTAAGTTAAATGTGACTTTTTTGTTATTAGTATTTTTGTACCTTGCCATTTCAGTAATACATACACGGTGGCTCAGATTTANTACACCTTTCAGTATTAAGTTAAATGTGACTTTTTTTGTTATTAGTATTTTTGTACCTTGCCATTTCAGTAATACATACACGGTGGCTCAGATTTAACCGGACCCAAGATATATTTTTTTTAATTATGAATATTCTTAAGGAAGAACCCTATTCGAAAAATACAGTGTGGGCCATTTTGGTGATGCATGTATGGTATCTTGGAAACTATACCTAAGAGATAGGAAAATGGTTAAATGGGGAAAGTTTTAGACAGTTCTGTTGCTAACTTAATGGCGCTTGCAGACCAGTCCTAGTTTTTAAGTTATTTTGAAAAAAAAGTAAATGCGGCGTTTTCGAAAATCGTCTGAATCTTTTTTATTTGGAGCAATTTTTAAAATCTGAAAACACTATTTCACAGAAAGTTTTTTCAAATAATTCACTGTATATTAAATTTTCAGTGCGATGTTTCGGTTGTGAGAAACCGATTTAAAATCAAATTTCAAACTTCTTCTGTACTCTGCGTTGTCATTCTACTAACTAGGCCAGGAAATATAGAGTTGGACGCGACATTTTGTTTCGGCGAGCTGAATTTATCACTGTAGATGCTAAATATTATGTACAATAACATAGTTTCCACAGTCATAAAAATGGGGGGAAGATTGTTTACAGGATGGTTAATTCTCTTCTCGTTTTTCGCTTATAACTTTTTTCCGTTAATTTCCACGAAAAAACAGTAAAGTACTTTTTTTTCGTCTTCAAAAGATCTACAAAACTAGCCCTCGAGCTTCAAAAAGTATTGATTAGATCAAAAGTTATAAACAGAAGAAGTTAATTTATGACTTTTGAATTAAACATTTATAAACTGCGTTATTATTACCAGAACGTTTTGGCATCGCATCCTCTCATTCCTTATCACTGTTTAATAACTCACACAAAATCTGGAATCGGTAAGTTGAATAGTTTACAAGTTATGGCCTTATAAACAAATTAACTAATTATTAGTCTGGACGATCCCGAGCATCTTCCACAATCGCACTGATTTTTTTCATGGTAGATTTCATAATAATACATTGAAATCTATCATTTTTTTTAATTTCAAATTTGCAACCTGAATTTTTTTTATTTTTTAGCCTTAGTTGCAAAATGAAATATACGACGCACGCGCGTGATATAGTTATATATTATTACATATTCGGAAAGCTTATGAAAATAGCTTTAAGTTAAAAAAAAATTGTCAAGATTCGTTGAAAAACAACGGAGTTACACACTGTCAAATATATTATTTTCAAGCGAATTTCGCTTTTTTAACGGCAGGACTATGAATACGTCATTTTCTTCGGACTTGCTGTCGTTCGCTTCCCCCGCCCTTCCGCCGCGCCACGGCTCGCCGAAAAATCAAGCGACCCACTGACTTTTGACAATATTTACGTATACGTCCACAAATAAGTACTCGGGTTGCCGGTTATGAAAGTTTTTTTTTTGCCGCTCCCAACCTAATTTGTTTAACAATAGGCCGTCAACTTTGACAGTCTGTAACTCCGTTGTTTTTCAACGAATCTTGACGATTTTTTTTTAACTTAAAGCTCTTTTCATAAGCTTTTTGAATATGTAAAAATATATAACAATATCACGCGCGTGCGTCGTATATTTCATTTTGCAACTATGGCTAAAAAATAAAAAACTTTCCATGTTGCAAATTTGAAATTAAAAAAAAAATGATAGATTTCAATGTATTATTATGAAATCTACCATGAAAAATATCAGTGCGATTGTGGAAGATGCTCGAGATCGTCCAAACTAATAATTAGTTAATTTGTTTATAAGGCCATAACTTGTAAACTATTCAACTTACCGGTTCCAGATTTCGATTTCGAGTTATTAGACAGTGACAAGAAATGAGAGGATGCGATGCCAAAACGTTCTGGTAATAATAACGCAATTTATAAATGTTTAATTCAAAAGTCATAAATACCTAAACTTCTTCTTTTGATATAATCAATATTTTTTGAAGCTCGTGGGCTAGTTTTGTAAGTTTTGAAAAAAAGTACTTTATTGTTTTATCGTGGAAATGAACGGAAAAAAGTTATAAGTGAAAAACGTGAATTTAGGTAAAAATTATACAATTAACCACCCTGTAAATAATCTTCCCCCCATTTTTACGACTGTGGAAACTAATATAGTAAATTGTAAATAATATTTAGCATCTACAGTGATAAATTCAACTTGCCGAAACAAAAAGTCGCGAAATGGTCATTTCCTAGCTCTTTTTCCTGGCCTATAACGAATGATTTTAGTTTACCAGACGATGGCAGTATGATTCACTGATGGACTAGGCATGTAATCCGCACAGTAGTTTCTTCCCCTAAATTATTTGTTAAAAATGCGAAGTATATTTGCTTATTTCTATTAGCTTAGAAAATATTACAAATATATTTTTTTAACATTTTTAGCAAAAAATCCTTACTTATTTTCAAAAGGGCTATTGTACATTCTCGGATTCGACGTTAAGATGACTCACCCTGTATGGCTTATGAAATTTCTTAGATAAAGACAAACACAAACTTTGAGAAAAAATTAAAAAAAAAAAGAAGAATTACATAGAAATATAAGAATTTCACGAAAAAATAATCAGTCCTCAATCGACGTTATTTATTGTTGATAATAACTAATTTGATGCAGTAATATAATCTACAAATGTCACATTTCATATTTGTAAGACTTAAGGTATAAGTTTTCTTCGTAAAAACAATTATGTATTATTTTATTGTTATTACTTACATATACACAATGTGTTCCAACGAAACTTGGCCCCTCCTGCAGTAACTTTGTATGCAGTTTTCAAGGATTTGCCACCCCTTCCCCCCAAAACCCCAGCCTCTTTTTCGGATCTTTTCAACAGAAATATTGCTTTTAGAGATAGAAAGATTGCTTTTAGAGCTAGAAAGCATTCTCTATTCCTTCAACTCGTCAAATTAAGAAGGAAAAGAATAGTTATAATTAATTAATTGATCTCCACTGTCTCTTATGTATCTACATATTTGAAACAAATTAATATCAACTTAATAGGAACTTTATGGGACAATTCAGTTACACAAACACTTTTGGAATACATTGTAGGTATATAAGCATTATTTTGATCTAAACATATCTAAGGTCAGTCACGCGGAGAAAAATGTTTGCTTGTTACCTCCACATGCAAAAGGCAAAAAACCTTTTTACGCAACACGTACCCAAAGAATGTAATTATTAAATAATGGTGCTACATAAGTTAGCTGAACATAGATATAGATATTAATAGGTATTATAAATGGATGTCTCTAAACCTATTTTTGTTGTTAGATGGCGTTTTGTGATACGAAGATTTTTATATACCCAAAGTTAAGGATGCAATGTAAATTTTATCGTACTTAGGTAGTCTATTAAGTTTCTTGTATTATATCACGACGTTTTAGTCTATTTTTACAAACTCTATGGCGAGTTTTTTATGTAGATAATTCTAAATAAACCATTAGTAATGGTGTTGTCGAAAAAAGTTAAGAGGAAAGTTTTATTTTAGCAAAGGAAATTGTATAAATAATAAAATTGGCAACCCATTATAGTCGTTATAGGTTTTAATATTGTACATATGTCTTCGGTGGAAAAAAAATCGCTTTCAAATTATTGTAGAGTAAAATGAATGCCCTTTGGGCACCGATTTTTCATATTTGTATGATAACGTCTCTTTTGTGATAAAAAAAACTCAAAATGTGAATTTAAATATAAAGTTTCAAGAAGTTTAAACTCAATTTTTGAAGATATGTTTTCCTTTAAATATAATTTGTAATACAGACTGATTGCATAAACCTTCGTCTCACCTCACCTCGAAACTGGTACCGACATTCTACCCCATCCTCTTTTTGAGTGTTATACTTTGAAGAAACCTTACGATTTTTATAAAAATTTGCATTTCGGATATATTAACTTGTGTTTTTCAAATAGAACACCTTTCGCATTTTTACGTAGCAAGAACAACAAAGGCGATATAGTCAAAAATATGTCAGACAAAAGACTTAGTTATCTAGGAAGAAAGTCTAATATACAGGGTGATTCACAAACGGTGAGCAAAAATGAAACCTCGTATTCTTTGGTGAATTTTAAATCTTTCGTATAAAATTTTTACCCAGGACGCTTTATTGAAAAGATACAGCGGGTTAAACTTAAAAAAATATTTTTAATTTTTTTAAATAATTTACAAACTAGTAAGTGAAATAATTTGAAATTGGGCACATGTATTTACGTAAACATTGTCCAAAATGTGATGCCTTTTTCTAGAAATTAGATGCTCCAGTGGCGGATATGTAGGGTATCGGTGGCATATTTTTCTAAATAAATTAGTACGCCACTGCATTACAGTAACAATCATATTTTCGGATTCGTCTTTCAATTTTCTACAAATGACTACTCTCTTGTTTTTCGAAAAATGCCTGATATTCGAGTAAAACTTAAAAAACGAACTGGAAACACTTTTACTTAAGTGACATGACAAACATCATCATCAGTCGGTTATTTATTCGAATAAAGAAATTAATAACATTAGTCATCATTTTAATGTTTTTATTTGAGTAAATGCTCAAAA